TCAGACAGTCTTGCCAACAGCCACCCCCGGAACCTTCCCAGAAGCCTAGCCAGGAACGGCTCCACACCACTCCAGAGCCCCTTCAGCCGTTGAGGAAACCACTCGTGACATCGATCTGAGTGATCTGGCTTTAGGAACGCGGCGATATGGTCCAACCAAACAACTTGGGAAAGCAGGGACTGCACACAACAATTAGCCAAGTCAACTAACCACTGAAATAGCGTGGAAACCGTGTAAAATTCAGAGCCACATTCACCTCCTAAGCGGATAGCGGTCAACCGAAGTTTGTGTCCCACTGAAATGAGACGCCAAAAAACGCCAAAAGTGCGGGGAAAGCTGCTCGCTGTTCTTCCAAGAAAGCCACATGACCACAGGTGTCATGTGGAAAAATGGCTGGCACTGGTACATGCCACACATTTCAGAAAAACGCGCGCCCGCCCCGCCCGTGGCCTCCCGCAGGGCTCGCTGCAGGATGCCGTCCGTGGCGCCCTTCGCGGCATCAGCCTTATGGGGATTCTGCCAAAACGAACCCATCACCGAGGCAAATGGATTCATTTGAACTTGTTGTTCTCCTCTTTCATTAGGTAAAATAAAATATGTGGTATTTAACATATTCAATACCTGAATATTATTATTCGCAATATGAAAGTCTATCAACTCTTGATACCTCCTTAATTTAGCTGCATGATATCCTCCTATGGATTTGTGATAATAAGAAGTAGCACCGTCACACGAACAAATGGGTACCCTCACCAAAAAAAACAGGTCCGCATGGACACACGTTGTGTTCCCCCTGCCCAACAAAAACAATGACAACATCAGGTGGTACACCCTAACAGGATTAAGTCCCCGGGAAAAAAAAACACAGTAGTCATAGATTCCCTTTAAAAGCAGCAGGGAAGACAAACACGTCCATTTCAGCAAGTTGAAGCTTTGCACCCTTCCGGGTGTCCTCCCTCAAAGCGCTTCCTGACGAAAAAGCGGTGTGAAATGTATGGAAAAGGGCCGCACGCGCAGGTCACCTGTTGGAAGAATCGACGGGTTTCCCTGGCAACTGGGGCAAAAAAGAACATCTTTTGGGACCAGATGGGTTTCCCTGGCAACTGGGGCAAAAACGAAAACATTCAAACCAGTGGCTTGCCCCTCCTTTTTGTTTCCCGAAGCTCACCTAAAAAGGGCCACCTATGGCAGCGCCTCCCCGATGCAAAAAAAAACCAGAGGCCGCTTCGGGGAGCTGCAAACGTCGCTTTCATCGGTCTTTCCATGGCGTGCACGGGAACCTTTCCAAGCGAAAGGGTTTTCCAGACATCTTGTTTTTTCAGACCAAGAGCAAAAGCGCACGTTTTTCGGCACGTTTTTCGGCCGCACGTTTTCCAAGCAAAAGAAGAGCGAGCCCTCCAAAAAGAGGGAGAACCAGGCCCCTCAGGGGCAAAAAGGCACTCTCTTTGGTGGTTGTGTGCGTCAACCGGGTCCCTCAGGGGAAAAAAGGCACTCTCTTTGGGTTGTGTGCGTCAAGTTCCTTTACAAAAAAAGAAAAGAGCACAGTGCAACAAGGAACACCCCACAAAAACACTCCCCGCAAAAAAAAACAACAACAACACAGGCACTGTGCTTGGTCTTTGTTTCACCCCTCCAAAAAAAAGAACAGGACAAAAAGCAGGCCAACAAACACTGCTCCACTAATCCCATGCACTCTTCTTAAACCCCTCCAAAAAAAGGAGCAACCAATCCCCCCACCCTACCCCCCCACCCTAACTGGCCACTCGCCACTGGCTCCTTTCAGTCCCCCCCCCCTACCCCCTTACCCCCCCACCCCCCCCTCCATTGGAGTCATAATCAAAACCCGGTATTAAAATGGTCTACCCAGAACCATGCTTCAAGAATCAAGAAGGCGGATATCCGCAGCTATTTCTGGTTATCGTCCCTTACTAACCTGATCATCTACCCGAATCGGTTTTGAGCAAGTGGCTCACTTGGCTTTTTCTGACAAACCCCCCTCCCCCCCACCCCCGGCTCATTGGGAGCCGACGCGCGCGACGGGCCGACTCTGAGGTTCCAGGCCACCGCCCGCGGCAGCGCGCGCTGCAGCTCCTCCGCGCGGCCCCGCAGATTCGTCGCGGCGAACTCCAGGCGCTCCGCCTCCGCGCTGTCCTCGCGCAAGTCCCGGTGCTTCCGATTGGCGAGGCACGCCACTATCCCAGAGGGCGAACATGTTGGTACCTTTTAAGGAGGTACTGAACGACCCCTTTTTACCTCCCCAAAAGCCATCCTCATGGGGTACCAAGTAACCCTCTATGTATACTAGGTAACCATGCCTGTGTGTGTGTGTGTATGTAACGTAACATAATGTAATGTAATGGCTTGATGTGATTTGATGTGATAACCAGGAAACGCCATGAGTGGTAAAAGCGTTCAAGTAGCCATGCCGAAGGGCTACCTACTACCTACCAAAGGTGGCCTGCCTGGAAGCACTGGGCAAGGCGAAAAGGCGGGAGGAAGGTGTGTGGAACGGAGGAGTTGGACCTGAGGTGTCTCCAAATAGAAAAACGGTGTAAACGGACGCTTTGGACCTTCTGTGGCTTGTCCATTTTACCCACCCGAAAAGGGTGCCCAAAAGACACAATTCAATCGCAACTCCCATCCCCTTGGTTTCCCTTTGGGCTTCTGTTTTAAACAATCGGGCCTTCGATCGCACTTCTTTCAACATCAACTTGCGAGAGCGGCGTCGTACGGAGGGACTGACAGGGGTCACTGGATTGCCCTGCAAAGACATGCAATTTGCCCAGTAATGAAGGTTTGAAGGGAGATGGAGGAAATTGAGTACCCCCCTGATTCGTACAAGTACCAATGTTGTGGGAAGATGTGGGTTTGTCTCCAAACAGGAATCGGAGCTCCGAAAATTGCAAGGGTTTCAACTTGTGGTTTCCCTTCTTTCACCAAGCCCAGGCACGCTCCGCCTCGGAAAAACCACATGGGCTTCGGGATGCCACTTGTACCAACGGAACTGCCTGGACCATCCTAGACTCCTAGACCCCCAGCGGACCGATTCGTTTTTCTGCCCAAGGCACCCCTTTGTTGTGGGCGCACCCTCAGCATTGGACCCTCCATTGAAGGTGTCGAACTGGACCTCCGTTGGAAGGTCTCGGACCTCAAAAGGGAATTGCCTCTTTGAGATCTGAACATGCTTAGGGCGAATGAGAATATAGATTCCCTTTCATCTCCAGGGGAAGATAACATATATCCCGAAACACACATGGAAGGTAATCATCAATCTCTTGACTCATGGACTCGTCTCACAGGCTTCTTCAAGAATGCAGCAAACTGGTTGAGAAACTTGGTCAATGGGGGGAACTCCCCCCCAGAAAACAGCAAACCAGGTTACTCCCCATTGATCATGTGGTTAAAGCAAAAGCCTCGCCCAAACTTCCCCCCAGCAAATCCGGACATATTTTGGTGCACGTGATTTCACGTCCCTCCGCTGTTGGCCCGTCCTGCTTCATGGCCTTCAACGCCTCCGCCGCCTTGGTCTCGAAGAGCTGCGCCATGGCCTCGATCCGCGGGAAACGGATCGATCCGTCGAGCCGCTTCGGGGGGGTCGGGGGTCGGTGGCTGCCGCCTCAACGGGGGGGACCCTGGGGTGTATAGAAAGGGTAGACCTGCAACAAAAAAACCATTGGAGTATACGTGATTTTGAGAGGATCGGAAGTTTTTGGAGGGTTGCAAAGGGAAATCCAAAGGAAGACCAGCATCTGTGGTTGGGTCCCGGCACTTTGAAGGAGCTGCTAGGGTAAGCATTGAGCAGACTGCTGGAGCAGGCACCTTCTGGTGGCTTCCATGTTAGCTCAGTTACTTTCTGCTCCCCGGCGAAAAGTGAGTTTAACTTTTAGTGGTTTAGTACGGAACACCCGAATTCGTGGGCAAAAAGTTGTTCAGGCCTAACAGCCAAGCAAAGTGCGCCAAAGTTAGGTGGATGGAGGGAGGTGAAAGCTGTTCAATAAACCCAACCTGGGAAAGCCACAGGGTCTACAGCTCTTCCAGTGAGCCGTTGCCCAAATGCCGTACTACCCTCAGAAGACCAGGTAGAACCAACCTACTAACCTGGAGCTGCTCATTGGGACGGGAAAGCCAGGGTCAAGAGGTCTTTGGAGACTTCGCAACAAATCAGGTGAACACAAATCTTGGCTGGAATTAGGACCCCAGCAAATATATATATATATATTTGTTGCTTGGTTAGTGGAAAACAAAGGGAACCCCAAAAAAGCAAAAACGGAAAAAGGGGAGCTGATTCTGGGGAAGAAATTGGGTCCCTGTCATAGACACGTGACTTGTTCGACTCGAAACAGGACCTGCAGGGTCCAGAACTTTCGTTGTTTCCATGATTAGAGTTAGGCCCAGCTATAGAATGTATACTTTATTGTTTGCTTCACGTTGAGTCACGTAAAATGTAAAATGTATCTCAAGTCTACCCCTTTTTCCATCGCTTTTGAAGGGGCCCCAGGGTCCGGCCAACTTGTTTCATCTTCTGCCGACCTTCGACTGCAAATCCTCTAGCTGCGGGAGGAGGGGACAAAAGGGGTCCCTGGAGTCTCCTTCTGACCCTTAAAAAATGGGTCGAATGACCCCATTACTTTGGGTAATGACCAACCATTCTTAAAGGGTCATGGAGACTCCAGGTCCGCGAATTCCAGTCAGAAAAAGAAAAGAAAAGTGGAGTCGTAAACGGTGCGCTCGGTCCCTTGTTGGGGTTGCTTGAAAGGGAAACGGTGAAACCCGCCATGAAATTGGGGTCTGAATCCTATTCTACGACACGCCCAGATCTCCAGGTGTCGGAATTGTCCCAAAGGTTGCACTTGCTTTGACCTGGCTGGCAAGCAAGTACAATCTTGCAAAGATGAGGAAGGGGGAGTGAGCCTATTCTCAAAGCATACTGATTGATACCTCCATGTGAACCTACAGGCTTTCAGACAAAATTACGCTCAATACCTCAAATAAAGCCTCCAACGGACTGATACATGGCCGATTGGGTCAGGTTCCCTCAACAGCAATTGTACTGGCAAGGATTCTCGGGTGCATGACCATCCCCGGAAAAAAAAAACACAAAAACAAAAGGAAGCGGTCTTTTGACCATGGCATGAAGGATTGAACAAAAAACACCCTGGATTTCAGAAATGTTGCCAGAACTTGTCCCAAAAAGTCGAAACATGCTACCCCTTAAAAACGACCCACCCATTTGGGTCGAAGGTACCCTTCTTAAGTTTGTTTTAAAGGGACACCGAAAGGAAACCGAGCCCAGTTTGGCGGCAGACCACTGACGCCTTTCGCACTTGCCAAGCAGCTGGGAAAGAAGAGTCGTTTGGTGCCTCTAAACTTGGACAATGAGTCAAGTGGGGGCTTCGCCAAATAGATGTCCACTTCGGAAAATTGATGCCCTCAGCTTCCAGTTCAAAAAGGGCCCATTTTGAGAATTTCCCAGGCTTGTCAAAACAAGTGAGATGCGGGCTCGTCTCAAAACTGGAATTGGACCAACCCGTGTAATTTGCTGTACCCTTTTAAAAAGAGCATTCCATTTGGGACGTCCACTGTACCTTGCCCAGCAATTCCCCCCGCCCCTTGAACCACTTTTCCTACTGTGGATGCACGAAATCCTGCACCACCCAAGAAACCCGGAAAAAAAGAAAAGAAAAGATTCCCTTGCAAATACCAACAAACGTTATGGTTTCCCATGGTTTCAAAACGGTGCGAAATGGATTCTGTCCATCCACAGTATTGGGATCCACTGGCTGTGAGCTTTGGCTCCCTGCACGGCCAGCGCTGTGCTGGGCGCTCGCGTCCAGGTCGGCCTGGAGCGAGCTGCGCTCGCTCGATCCCATCGACTGACCCCATCGGCCCCTCGTGGATCTCAGCTACCAATATACTTCCATGTGGTTAAGACTCCTGGAAAAATAAAATAAATATTTCCAGTAGTGATAGGTTTCCTCTAAAACCAACATGGGAAACTGACAAATACTCTTAGGCAAATGGAAGTATAGCAGGTAACCCTTTGCTAGCTTCCTGTTGGCTTTTGAATGGTGGTTCGCTAGGTCTCACTATTTTCCTGTTGGTGTTGAAAGGGTGGTAGGCCCTTGGTTCCCTAAATTGATGAATGAATCCACTGGGGAGGGGGGGGTTGTGAGGTTGATCAACTTTTGGCACCCCCCACCGGGTTTCTGCCAAAGGGGGGCTAAAGTGATCTAAGGTCTCATGAATCTTCTTTGGGCAAACGAACCTGAACCAGGCTACCAAAATGGAATGGCATGACTAAGCAAATGACCCTGCAGCTCCTTCCATTCGCGTCAGATAATTTTGCAATTTCCTCTCTTGAAGTTTAGGAATACATCACCGGGCATATGTGTATCTTTGCCAGGGGACTCAAGCAAATGGGTGCGTCTTCTGTTCAGGGGCCCCAAAATGAGCGGTGTTCCTTGTTTTCCCCTTAAAGCCTAGCAAGAAAGGGGCGGCAACCTCAAACAAAAATACACCTTCAGTTGCTAGCGCCCATCGAACTTCTGAATCGGGTTGATGGCGCGCTTGGCGCCATCTGCCTCCCGACCGGTCAGTGCGGTTTTTGTGTGACTCCTCTGGCATGGCGACGGGTCCTAGAAACCCTTCTGGGTGACCCTTCAGTTGGCCCAAGAGCTGATAAGCACCCCCCGAAAGAAAAAACAGAACAAACAAAAAAAGGCGCGCGCACAAAGCTTGATTGGCTTCGCATTTGTAAAGCCATGTTTTTATAACCCGGGCGGATTCCTATGTTTCTGCAGACTGGGCAGCTAGCCGCCAACAAACGCACCTTGCCAAATGGATGTGTCTTTTTGTTGAGGGTTTTGAGAGTTATATTCAGGTCCCCCATTTTTTAACACACGCCCTTCTTCAATGGGAAGAAGACCTTTGGACCACCTGATTGTTTATAAGGCGTCCTCTACCGCCAATGCGCCAGCGAGAGCATCAGCCGGGATGTCTTCCATAGCCGCTATGCGGGACCTCTCGTTCACGCGGAAGTTCCTGCGCCACACAGCCAACCAAAGGAGTGCAGCGCCGACTCATCTGCGAAACTCTTCGCCGCCTCTTTCACTCCGGTCGCATGGACGGAGGAGAGGGTTTGGTACGCGTCGTTACACAGAATCCACTCCTGGAGTGTGGCGCTTCAAATCGGCCCTTGCGATCTCCGGTAGGTTGAGACAAGGGTAAGGCAAACTAGGCAGAACTCACAGGAATGATTTTGTTGAGCACCGTCACTGCGAAGTGATCAGCCTACAATCCTATGGTTGTCCGGAGGTTGCAGAGAGCTTTGGGGGCACCCCCCCCGCCTCCACTCAAAATGACTTGCTGGTGCTCAGTAGGGAGTGACCAGGGTGTTGGCAATGAACCTAGGGGTCCCCTTAAAGCTTAAGCCTCAAAGGAAACAATAAGGGATGGGCTGTCTTGGGGTCATTCCATTTCTCATTCCCTGCCTATCGCTCCGGCAAGATGAACCCATTTGCCCAACCAACGACCAACGACCTTAGCCGCAAACATCGCCATTGAAATGGAGAATCGGGCCTACTAAAAGGCACTGAGCCATGGAAGAAAGCTTGGCCCAAACCAAGAGTATAGCCTTTAGCTTCTGTTTCATCTTGAGTCAACCCTAATAAATAGAACAAGTTCTGAGGAGACCCAAGAACATGTTCTCTTCTTTCTTTATTTGGGGGGGGGGACCTGGACCGGAAGTCGTCGAAGCCCTCCTTTCAAATGCACCCCTCCGTGCTGAAACCGGAGGGAGGGTGAACTCGCTTTTCCATAGTCCCTGCCAAAAGGATCCCTTGATACCTGCCATCCTCAGGCAGTCACTACAAAGGAGGAAAACCTATGAATGGTTTCAAATTCATTTCGCACCACCCGAGAACTTCTGGAATGATGATTCCCTTGCAAAGGCCAACAAACAATGGTTTCCCATGGTTTTGAAGTGGTGCAAGATTTTGTCCATCCACAGTATTGGAAGCCGCCAGTGTTTTCCTGGCCCCTACAAGTAACATTCCATGTTTCCCCCTGGATTTGGCTTTTACCACCATGGCTCGAAAGAATTCAGAGTCCCCTGCCCAAAATTGGCTACTCTCATTTCACACCTAGAGTTGGCGGGTCGCACCCGAAACCCCGGGGAGGAAAAAGAGGAGGAAAAAGCGCCATGTTTTTTTTTTGGGGGGGGGGAAAAGAAAAAACAACTCGCAAACGTTATGGTTTCATTCCCCTGGATTCATTTCGAGACGAATGTTGTCCCGTACTTCAACCTGGAAGAAGGGGTCTACTCACGTCTTCCGCTTGGAATGTGCCGGCTGTTTTGGCCTGTCACGTACCGAGAGCCTCGAAAAACAAAAACACCCAGGGCTACAACAATTGTTTCAACCATATCCTTTGGCCCTTTTTAGGGGGGGGCCTCCCTGCAAATCATTTTTGAGGGTTCCCCTAAGTCTACCATTTCCCAGTTGCCAATATAGTAGGTAACCAGCCATTTTCCATCTGGTTTTTAAAGGCTGGCAAGCCCTTGGCTACAGACTATGCAGGTAAATGGAAGCTCTTGTCGAATTACATGCCAACCCAGTGCTTCCAAATACCACTATAGTAGGTAACCCTTCGGCTTCTTTCCCCTTTTCAGGAGGTACTGAATGACCCCTTTTTACCCAAAAGCCATCCTCATGAGGTACTCGGACCCTCTGGGTTGGGTTTTATGGATGGTTTCTCCTGGCTATGCCTGGAAGCACTGGCTAGGCCAAATTAACTTCGCCCAACCCGTGCTGCCGGCTATCGGTGGGCGCCTCGCTCTCAAGCAAGCCGTTGCTCGCCTGAACTTCGAACTTCGCTCCCTCCCAAGTCCTGGCCTACAGGCCAAACCCAAAGAATCCGACTTGGGTCTTCAACCAACTGAGTAAGGCTTTCACCATCGTTCTACGGAGACTAAGCCCAAGGTACCATAGGTACCCCACTTCTTTCCGTGGTTTTAACCTACTTACTAACTTCGCCGAACACCCAAGTAGGCAATATGCACCAACATATGACCCATTTGGAGAGTAAATGTGGGCATTTATCTACATGGATCGGGCCGGGGAAGAACAAGTTGAAACACGGGTCGCCCTTTCACCTTTCCTTCGAACTCTTCTTTTTTCTGATCGGCGCGCACCTTTTGGCGCCTTGATCGGGCCGTTGTTTTTTTTCTGCCCGAAACTCCGTCTCCAAGAAATGGGCCCCGTCTCCGTGAAATGGGCCTCCAGGCTACATGACTTAAAGGTCCTGGAAGTCTCCGTGCGCACGTAGAAGATACGAGGTATGTGTTCGCCATGGACCCCACAGACCAACCACACAAGGGCTACACTCTTATACTGGCTTGGGGCTGAGCACATCTCACTAATCTGACCCGCCAGATGGCGCAACGGTTTTCCTGTTGGTTTCCCTTCAAAGCCAGCCAGCATGAGGGGTGCCGTTTCACGTTAAAAACCAACCAAGCGAAGGGGTACCGAGCCTCAACAGACGACTCCCTGGCGGGCGCGGGTTCATAAGCCTTTAGCTTGGGAAGCCACAAGATCGGCACAGACATGGCCAGGGGTCGAAAGTGGGATAACCCCAAAACGGGTTGGTGTGGTAACTGGAACGGGCCGAAACCTGCGGTCCAATTTCCCGGTGACTCGTTTTGATTGCCCGCATCATGGTGTTCGCATCGAAGGGGACATTCGGTCAACAAGGCGGCCGAGCAGGACGCCGACTTTGATGTCCACCCAAGGAGACCTCTTTGTTGGATACACGCCTCCCCCCCCCGCCGTTCAGAACCCCTGAATGATTCCCCAACGTAAATACCAGACAAAGGTGGTGGTTTCATTCCCTCACTGGCTGAGTGGATGGCCAAAAAAAAGTCCAAACTTTGATTTACCACTAAATGGTCTTCCCAAAAAGTTTAAAGTTCATGAACTCAGGAAGTGAGTTCCCATGGTCTCCTAGGTGGTGCGAAGAGATGTCGCAACCATCCACTGTATTTCATCGAGAGTTGTTCCACATGACTCCGAAGCCTCCCAGAAATGGGGGGGGCGCCGATTTTTGGGGCCTCAGAGCCTTTCCCAGGTGCCCAGATTTTTACCTGGTCTTGTAGGCCAAGGAAAACCACCGATGCAAACACCACAAAGGAAACTACCGAAGGGTTACTCTAGCGAAGGATTACCTGCCAAGTTTAACTTTTAGAGGGCTTAATAGAAACTACCACCAAACCAACTAACGCAACTAAACACCTAAGGAACAAAACGCCAGCAAACCGCCCAAGCTTTTGAAGAACGGATAGGCTGATAGGCTCGCGGAACCGCGCTGTATCACCCCCGAAACCTGGGAAAAACATATGGATGTGGGTCAAACATAGGTACCCAAAAGGGAACCTTGGCAAATGGAAACAAAGACTAAAACCAGCGGTCCTCTGGTGGTTTCATCTTGACCCATACCCGTACTTTTGCTGTGGTCCCATGCAGGCCCTTTTTGGAGGCGCGGCTTACCCTTTTTGGGTTCCGAAGGGAAACCAACAGCAAACCAACCATGGGAGTTTTGATCCCAGGCAAATCCGCAAGTTGGGCGTGTTTTTTTTAATAATTTAAGGGACCCTCCAAAATGGCATCGGTTTTCCTTTAGTTTCCAATTAAACCAACCCAAAAAGCGTATGCCTCGAAGCATACACACCGACCGGTTTGCCTCTGGCGCCGTCTGCCGAACCGCCAACTCGGGTTGCGGAGGGGCCTGGATTGTTGCTGACGAATCCGCAAATGGACGGAAGGAACACAAAAGGGACCTCCCTCCAAGACTTTCCTCTGGTGGTTTCTGGGTTCCATGCCAATTTTACGAGACAAACGTTTCAGTACTAAAAGAAGTAATAAACCATCCGTGGCGACTCTGTCATTTCGGCTATCACAAATTGCGCTACAACGGAGCCCCTAAACAAGAGCTGTTTACTGGTTGGTGGTTGGGCATCATGATGTTCCTAAGTTCGGTCGCACAAGGTACCAGATCATGGCGATTTCCCATTGAAACCAGAACCACAGATTCCGTTTAAGCACATGGATCTTCGAGGGCCGGGGCGGCGGGTGGGTTCCAAATGTATTATATATATGTATATCCGATTTTAGTTAAACATATATCGCAAGTGACCAGACGCATCCAAGCACGAAGATCTCTTCAATGATCTTGGGTTTGAGCACCGACGTGAATGCCGGACTGTGAGAGCTCACAGCTTTCATCATGCCTTGAACCTGGGCCTTCCGTCCTGCTCGTTCCGTAGTACACCAAATCGCCAGGTCAACGCAGTCCTGAGTGGAGGCAGTCTGCAAGAAGGCCTTCAGGTCAAAAAGGCTCCGAAGTCTCACTCCGAGACTTCAAGCCGACCCGTATCTTGTCGTGCACATCCTTGCGCCCGACAACATCTCGGAGAGCCCACAATGCCTCCTGCACCGCGGTTTGCTTCCCACGCAGCTTTGCGTCGATGAGTCATGCTGATGACAAACACCAAACCAAATCAAATCAGGTCACAACCAAAAAAACACAGAAAACTATACCTCCTTCAAACAAGGCGAAAGGGTCAAACAAAAACATGCGGCATGTCAATTCGCGCGGTTTCGTACATGTTGCCCAAATCCTGGCTTGGGGACCCAACGAAGACGGTCAGCCTCTTGTGGAACTCCGTGCACACATTCCCCCGAAAAGGGGCCCCCACGGCCCCTCCGAAAGTTTCATTCCCGCTCACCCGGAAAAAGCCCAGGCGCCCCTAGCCCGGGTCCCTTGGTACCTCATGAGGATGGCTTTTGGGAGTAGAAAGGGGTCGTTCAGTACCTCCTTAGGTACCAAGGGACCCTCTGGGTAGGTTCCTGCCTTGAAACCCTTGAAGCTGCCCCAAGGGCACCCCTGGTCGCCTATCGACCCCATAGCTTTTAGCTAGGGAAAACCGTTGGAGCCACGGCGTGCGCGAAACCACGGCCTTGGTGCATGTTTGAAGCCCTACTGTTTCAACAACATGCCTCGGGCTTTGCCTAAGGGACAAGGGTCTGATTGTTTAAATTTGAACAGCCCTGGTACACACCTGGGCTCAAAGGAGTGTTTCCTTTGACAGGAATTCAGAGCACGTTTTTCGAGGGGCCCCTAATACAGTAGGACAGGTTGTACTTAGATGCGAAGGGTTAACATTCATCCAGAGACTGGGTGAAATATAATACTTCAGTCACAATCAAAGCCCCAGAACCATGCTTCAAGAATTAAGAGGGCGGATCTCCGCAGCTATTTCTGGTTGGGATCGTCCTTGAAGCTTCATCTACCCGAATCGGTTTTGAGCAAGTGGCTCATTTGGGGTGAACTCGGTCGCGTGAGGTCGTCGTAATTCCCCAGAGCCTTCCAGTCGCTCGCCCCGAGCCCCACTCTAACCCGAGCGCCTGAGGCGAGTCGAAGCTCCCTTGGCCTTGAGAGAAGGAAGCGAGGGCCAGCCGAGCCGCCCTTTGCCACCCCCCCCGATGGTGGGAGAGGGAACCTTGAGACCTTGGAGGATTGAAAGGCTCCAAAAGCCTTTCTGGGATGAAACTGATGGGCATGCAAAGGAACCTTTTAGGTCATGCCCGAGCTTCCTTGCCCAAAGGGTCCTTTGGTACCTTTTCAGGAGGTACTTAATTAGACCCCTTTTTACCCCCCAAAAAACTCAGCTCCCAAAAGCCATCATGAGGTACTTACTTTGGACCCTCTGGGTTGGGTTCCTTCCATTTCTCAGCCCCCGATTTCGGTCACCAACGCGCCTCCGGAGCTTCCTCCACGCAAGCCCCGCCGCAGCTCCTCCGCCTGATGCGGACATCGAGCGAGATGGCCCCGTGGCGGTCGCTTTCTTGGGGGCTCGGGGCCCTTGAAAAAGGATGGGTTGAACAGGGATCCTTAGATTATACACCTGAACATTGCCTCGTAAATGGTGGGTTCCCCTTATTTTGGTGGAAAAAGCCATGTTTCAAATGAGCAAAACGTATCTTTTAAGGAGCCCTGTTGAAAGGGAAAGCAACAGGAAGAACACCAGTTTGGCGGATACCCATTTTTTAAGGTGGATTCGCAAAGGGCTGAGAAATCATCTGACCGACCAATCCCAGGAGTGCCCGGGGAAACTAGCGCTACCTATCCCAGCAGGCAAGCCAGCTCCATTGTCCTTTGATTTTGAAAGGCTGGCAAGCCCTCGGTTACTCGCTATACTAGGAAATGGAATCACTGGGTAAGGCAGCTTCCCACCACATCATACTTCCCAAACATGAAGGAGTTGGATCCCAGTTACCTGCATAGCAGGTAACCAGTTTTCTTTCCTTTTCGTTGTTTAAAGGGTGGTTCTCTTGGTTACCTACAACACCATGTCTAAATGGATCCACTGGGTGAAATCAGAGTTGGATCCACTGCGTGACATGTCAAACGCCTGGTTCACTTGGGTTTCCCGCCTCGATGACGCCGTCACCATTCAGATCCAAACGCCGGAACTCCTGGCGTTTGGGGCAAGTCCTGGGGAGTTGTTTTCCCCACGCCAGTGCTTCCAAATAAGCCATTACAGTCGGCAACCAGAGAAATCATCATGTAGCTAGAGTCACCTGCTCTTGTGGCAGCTGGAAGCACTGGGCATGGGATAACCGAGCGAACATAGCGGAGAAGTCCGGCGAAAGGAGTCCCGGGTTCGAGGGACTGTAGTGTCCCGATTCGACTCTGCTTTCAAATCGATTGCTTTCCCGGCTCCAATTCCATTGATAAAGGTTGCCTTCAAACAACCAGGTTTTGAGACCCGAACCTCTCAAATGTCAAATGGAGGGGCCGGGTCTTCCATTGAAAGCTCCAGGAGCCTCTGGGTTGAGACAAAACCTGAGGCTTGCAAGACAGCCGAAGTCTTCCATGCCGAAGCGAACTCAGTTGCCCAGTTCGGAGCCAGATATGAAACGCTAACCTTTTGGGGGCTGAACTTGGGGGGTTTCGGCGGTGGGGTTTACCGCAGCGAGATCTGTACGATAAGTTGAAAGGTCCATCCCGGAGTCCATCCCGGATTGACTTGAAAAAGCTGCAAGTACAGAAAGTGGCAACCCAAGCTTCCACATTTTTCACCATGTGAACATGTTCTAATGATTCCACGGCCGGAAATAAGAATTGGATCCCACTGCATAAGGAACCTACATCATGGCTTTCGCCCGTTTCACCCTAAGATCTCGCCACAAAACAGCGATCACAGCACCACTCGTCCAGCAACTCCCTCGAGGCGGGCGACTTAAGGAGGCGATCGATTCGCTACGTCAGGCAAATACCGAGTAACCGCTGAACAGGGACTTGCAACAGGCATAAATAACGAATCACATTCAGGCCCTCAATACCCTGCTCGGAATGCACGGAATGTTTCCCAACCGCCGGGGCAAATTTCTTTTGGCTTGTCTCCTTAAGTACCAACTCGCGACACGGCTCGCGTTTCCAAGCGCGCCTGTTGGATCGCATCGGAGGTCAACCCCTGAGACTCCGGAAGCGGGAAGCGGGAAAGACGTCTCTTGCAAGGAAGGAACCCGGGGAACCCAACAGGAGATTCCTCTCAAAATGAGGGGTTTCTGGATTCCATTAAAAAAACAAACCAAAGAAACGTGTCAAACTTGAAACCACGGAAAAAAATCTGCGCGAATCCGTTTCGGTCGTGGCTCGCTTAGGCCGAGATTGGGGATACCTTGAAATGCTTCATCTACCCTGGGCTTTGAGAGAGTCCTCTCTCATTTCCCATTTTTGGTAGGGAAAGGGCATCCGAAAGGAAAGCAGCCATTTATTGCTTGGCAATCAAGGCTCGATATTGCCGTCCACAAATTGGCCCTGTTCACCCTTTCGCTCGCAAACCTTCAAACCTCGCAAGGGGCTCCAGTCTCAGGCACACACTCCTGCTAAACAAAAAGCCTATCCGCAGCCAGGCACATCTTTGGCTTGCTCACCCACTAAAACGGGGGTCCACCTTTTCTTTGCAGAGGGTCCAAGTATCTCATGAGGATGGCTTTTAGGGGTAAAAAGGGGTCTAAGCACCTCCTTAAAAGGTACCAAAGGACCCTCTCTCTGGGCTGGAACCCTTCCCAGTTCCCCGTTCCCCACACGGCTCTGCGAATCGATCGGCGCCTGGCTCTTGCCAAAAGCTTCCAGCTCACTGAACTCCACCTGAACCAACCGAAACCACTCCAACCACTCGTCCAGTCTCCGACGCGCGAGACGCGCGAGACGCGGTTCTGAGTCGACACATCGGGGAAACGGCAACCCGAAATTCCACAGGGTCCAAGCACCTTTTAAGCTGGTATTTAGACCCCTTTTTACCCCCCAAAAGCCATCCTCATGAAGTACCACGAAAAACCCTCTGGGAATAGTGGCCGTCAGACATTTGAAGCGTGGGTTTATGTGCACCGACCTCATTTTGGAGGTAATGAAAGTTCGAAGGTAAAAGCCGGGGGCTTTGTGATCCTTTCACTCGACCCCTGCGAAGCCACAAGTCTAGAGATCAGTCATCATTCCCTGACCATCAAGTAAAAAGGGCCTACCCAGAGGATCCCTTGGTACCTTTTAAGGAGGCACTGAATGATCCCTTTTTACTCCCCAAAAGCCATCCTCATGAGGTACCAAGGGACCTCTGGGCTATGTTGTTGGGTCTTTTTTGAGGCAAACACCAAATGGAACAATTAAAAACAGGGCCCAAGATCGTGAGAATCCCCAACACAGCCAAAAACCATTCGGGCGCCAATTCCAAAAAATATACAGCCTTGCAAGGGGAACCCCTGTTTTTTGTTGTTTCATCCCTTGACTTTTGTTGGGAATCCCCTTGAAAACAGTTCGGAGCTTGCTCAATGGGTTTGGGGCTTTGGTCGGATAGTCCAAATGTCACGCCATTGCCGCATGCGCCTGGCCTTGCGACGCATAGCGACTGGTAGATACCAGCCGGCCACCGAACATTTGCTTAATAAGTCCCCTGGACATAAACAATATGTTCAGTCACCAGAGGGTCCAAGTACCTCATGCAGATGGCTTTTGGGGGGGTAAAAAGGGGTCTAAGTACCTCCTTAAAAGGTACTTGGACCCTCTGGGTAGTGATAAATTAATGCCCTTTTTACCCAGCGGGGGACATAACAACTATTCTTAAGTGAAGGTCCATCATGTAAACAACATCGCGGGGGCATGTTTTCTTTTTGAAACCAAACCCGAGTCACTTTTGCACATATTTTTGTCCAAACTCGTTTGGAATCCAGGATTTGGGGGGTGTCGTTTCTTGAGTTTGGACCCTCAAACGGCTTCGGTTTGGGGGTTCCATTAAACCACCCCAAAACGGGTACCAAGTCAGCCACCCGTTTAACGCATTTTGGGGCAGTTTACCCAACAATTCCATGACCCATGAAAGTAGCAGGGTTGCCTCCATGTTTCTTCTTTGGAACCTCCAAAGTGGGAGTTTCCATGGAGAGCTCCAGTAAATTGCAAGCTTTGAAGGGGAAATCCAGTGACGCCTGACAGCTGGTGTTCTGTTTTCAAGCACCGTTGAAAAGAGTGGGGAATCAAGTAGAGAGGATAGAATAAGGGCACCCTTTTTTTGGTAGTCTATTTTAGTAGGTCCCCAAAAACAGGGTGAGATAGGGCGCTGCTGGACCTAGATATTGAACAGCCAGACGCCCCCTGTTCAAGGGCGACCACAAATTTGTCACGGCACTTCCAGCCAACTCGTTTGACTTCCATTTGCTTTTTCGCCCACCGGACAAAATGGTGAGGATTAATTCCAGCAATGACATCGTTTCCCTTTAGAACCAGGGACAAACAAAAACATATGAGTTTCAAGCCCAGAGGGTTCTTCTTGGTACCTCATGAGGTAAAACGGGGTCATTCAGAACCTCCTTAGAAGGTACCAACGGACACTCTGGGAATGGAAGTTGACCAAAGCTCAGATCGGGTCGGAGCTCCGGAGCCTTCCCGGAGTGGTCGCTGTCCAACTCGAGCAGCGCAGCCTTCGATCGATCGTACAAATGGGTGGCGCTCGTCTTCTTTTAGGAATTGCCCCGAAAAAAGATGGATCCAAATTCAAAAAGAGACACACGGGCTGCCAAATGGGGGTATGTGTTGAAGGGAGACCCCCGCCCAATCAAAATGGTGGTTTCCTTTTGGAATCAATAGTTCCTTCGAACAAGGGCAAACATCAGAATTCAAATCTAACCCAGTGCTTCCAGGCGTTTGCCACTACAGCAGGTAACCCTGCGGCATGGCTACCTCTAGTTTTGCTACGTCATGGTGAGGCCTTACGATCGTGGCAACTGGCTGGAAGCACTAGTAAGATGGCCTCCGCTGCTTTCATTGGGTTTTGGGGCGGGGGGAGGGGGGGAAGCGGGCGAACCCCAAAATATAGGAAAATCGATCGTTTGCGAGGATTGACCAGCCCCCCCTTTCACAGGCCCATGCCATGTGATTGATGAAAGGGGCTTCCAAGGTATGATACTGTGGATGGACGAAATCCTGCACCACCTGAGAAACCCGGAAATAATGATCCCCCTGTAAATACCAACAAACAATGGTTTCCTATGGTTTCAATTTGGTGCAGGTTTTTGTCCATCCACAGTATGGTCAGTCGTAGCTATGGCTTCAGCCATGGGCCTGGGGGCAGTTTCGATTCAGATCAAAAGGATGATTTTTTATCTCGCTGCCCAAAGGCCCAGCAATTGCAGGAGGTGTTTGTTCCATTCAGTGCCTCAGATGCCCAGGGGCCATGGGAAAAAAAAGGGCATCTTTTATTTTTTGGCTGGTTGACTTTCAGGGAAAACCCTGCCCCCAAAAAAGGGGGGAAAAGGGCACCGCTGGGCAACTGGGGTACCTAGTGACTGTGTCCGTTGTCTCAAATGGCGGACCCCGCCACATAGTGTTTACGGAGATACCAAAAGGAGGTTGTCGCTATTTTGGGAACCGCCTTTTTGAGAAACACCCCCACTTTAATTTTGCCTTGCCTTTTTCAAACCGTTTGGTGTTGGGGTCCAGAAACAGGCTGGGCGGTCGAAACACACAACATCACCCTTTTTCCGGGTGTCTCCTGTTCGGGAACTTGTACTGCAGGTTGGAACCCAACAATCTCGTTTAAGATTGGACACTGAATCTCCCCATTTGTATGTGGGCACCTCATTTTGGGGGTTCCTTTCAGTCTTGGATGGTTGTTAGGAGTCATTCCATTTATCATTCCCTTCTGAGAACCAGCAGCTTATGGTCTTTTGGCGGATTCATGTCCAACCCCATTTGAGGCCCCCTATTGGGATAAGCGCTTTTTGGAAGAATGGATTCAACCATCCCCGCCAAATGGTTTCACCTAAAGGGGCATCCATTTCTCATGCGGTTTGCCCCACTTACATCCGTCAAATCACCCTGACGTGGGCACGGCTGGGGAAGCTTATAGGTAAATAGTGTTCTTAAGAAACCTTAAGAAGGCCTTCCTTTGGGGGGGCCCCAGGTTTCTACCGTTTCCTGAGAGGTTTGCAGTGATTGACATCTAGAACTTATTTGTGTTTATACATTCCACTAAAAGCTGAACAAAACAGAAAGGGATCAATCAATCACTAAGTGCAAGCCTTGCCGGTGACTTAAAGGGGTTCCGCGCGCTGGGTATCAAAAGCAAGTGTAATCAAAAATATTCCTGCTGGCTGGTGGGCGCAGTTTTGTTGAGAACTCCCGCTGGGAAGTCAGAGGTGCAAGAAAGTATCTGGGGGTAGATCAAAAGGTCCGATATGACATTGCATCGACTTCACCAACGTGGGCAGCCGCTCCACATCGCCCCAGTACTCCACAGCTCCAGTCAGGCTGAGCTCCAGCCCTCACTCGAAGAAGCGAGGATTTGACCTCCTCGGCAGAGAAGGAGGTGGCATCGTCCGCCAGCATGTAGGTGGACTGTAGGTGCTCCTTCATGTAGGTCCGGTGGATCGGCCCACTTAGGACAAGCTACCCCACGGTCAATGACCGAACGGAATATTGATCAACCCCTATCTACTCCTGTCAAGAACTGGTTTGCGGTTGCCCCTATCTGACTGGGACAAAGCCCTTCATCTACCCGGATTTTCACTGTGGCTCACATGGGTATGGGTCACAAAGAGGGCAACCCCAACATGGCGTAAGCCCTGGTAAATGGAAACAAGTCGACGACCTGCGGTCCAATTCCTGGTGGTACAATTTTGACGCATACCCATTCTTGGTTTGGGCTCCCGTCAAGGACCTCATTCTACCTGACGGGCCATTGGCTGCAACTGGGATGGCGCCTGCTTTGCGTTCGTGATTCGGGCGTAGGCTTTATTGAGGTGCCACCTTGAAGGGAAACCAAAAGGACGATGCCGACTTGTTGTTTCTGTTGGTTTTCTTGGTGAAGGCGCGGCACCGAAATTGACACCTGGGTTTGTGTTTGAATAGGAACCTGAAGTGGTGTCCCGTTGCCTTCAAAAGCCCCAAAAGGGCTCCCTCAAAAGCAAGCAGCACCCTTCCTGATCTCGCCAATTGCTTTTTAGCAGTAGAACCAACATGGGAATAAAACGCAGTCGGGCTTGTGGGGTAGGCTCAAAGAAACAAGTTGAAGAACAACCCACCATTCTAGGGGTCCGAATCCTATGTTGAGACAAGCCGTACCCCATAGAACATTGAGGCACGAGTCATTCATATGCTTAAGCATCTGGAAAATGCAAGTCTGTTGGGACCGTTTCCTTTTCATAAGTGTGCTTCTCAAAGGACTCGGAATCGGTCCCCTTTCCATGGACGGTTTTGCTTGCCCGATGAATGCCACAAGGTCCATTCCAAGTCGAACATCACCACCAAACATATTTCAGTTGGCCCTTTTGAGGCGATGTGGAAAAAAGAACAACGGGGGGCAAGGGGGCAATGTATTGCGAAATCCGCATAGAACACACCACCCTTCAGAAACCCGGGTGTCTGGTATATGATTCCCCAGCGTGTTCCACCCGCAAACGTGACATGGTTTCAACCATCATACCCCTCTCCCCAAAAGGGGTATATACCCCTCATAAAGTGGCCTGGAAACCAGGAAAGCCAGGGGGTATGAACAAGGGGTATGTACTTCGACCCTTAGAATTCAAGATTGGATATTCCCATGGCATTGTGACCTTCTTGTTCCAATGTCCGCGTCCGCGCACCAAACCTGGCAAAATCAGAGCGCTCTCCCGCATTTCCCCTCCCACAAACATTTGTTACCGATTTCCGCTAGGTCCTCCAGGAGTCTATGTTAGTAGGGGAACCACGGCTCAAACCGGAGACGTGTTTGCCGAGCGGCATCCTCCTCCGCTCGGGTCCTCTTGGCTGCCTGGCAACCATGCCCCCCCCCCCAAAACCATGCACGTTGCCACGGAGCCCCTTTTTTTTTGTGTGTTGTTTGTCGTTGTTTTTTTTGTTCCGCGGGCGGTTCGGATCTCATGTTCCGCGTGAAAAAGAAGAGGGCCATTTCTCCGGTGGCCACGTGGAATACCCCAAATTTGCGGGGGTGGGGTTGGTGCAAACGGGAGTCATCCATTGACCATTCCTTCAATCCGCCAGGCATGGAGGTGCTACGGGACCCTGAGAAGGTCAATTCCCGCGATCCCGCCGTCTTGAATTCCCAAAGTGGGATGCCAATGTTCTTGGGTGTCAAGTGCACATCCACAATCCTGAAAACCCTTTGCTAATTTCGGATAACAAGCTGAAATCCAGGACTGGTCGTTTCCCCGGGGGGCCAACCCCTGATTCCGTAACGCCTACGGGCAAATACAAAGATAGGCTTAGCCGCCTGCAGCTCCGCACATCTCTAGCTCGCGACATCCTGGGATGAAACACAAAGAAAGACTTGACCCCCTGCTCTTGGGAATGCCCCGTCTCCTCATCTGAGCCACCCGAGGACGTTAACTGACATTTGGCGCTACAAAAGCCGGTCATAAAGGTTGTGTAGGCCATTCCGTCATTTATATTAACATCCGGGTATGTGTAAATACGGGCCGAACAAATGGTTGCTTTCCTTTTCATTGCCCTTCACGCCCTTTGACATGATACCCTCCTAGAGCCTTACTGCTCATCGACCAAAGCTACGTGTAGGCAGTGCTTAAAGATGTTCTTATCTTCCCTGTGCTTTCTTAATGAACAACTCTCCAGGTGTGATATGGCAGGGTCAAGCACTAAGCCGCCGCGTAGCCCCTTGGTTTCTGTTAACCCCGAAGACTATGGTGAAAACCCCAAGCCTCAGTCCATTCCCTTCTCTTTTTTGGTATCCGTGCTACCGCCAATGGACCGATTCGTTCTTTCCTGCCTTTAAGTACCCCTTTTTAGACCACAAGGGGTCCTTGGGACATCTGGTTGAATGTCAAGACAACAAAGATCATGAAACTGTACAGTACCGTTAAGCCAGCGAAACATTGATCGTCTGGTTGGTGCCTGCTAGGAGAAAGCATGTAAACATGTCAACATGTAACCCTGGCAACCCGACCAACCAATGATCATCCCTCACCATAAACAAGGGCTCAGATGCCCAGTGGCCTTTCTAACGCTTTGCCGTTATTGCGTCGGAGATCCAACGCTGTGCTCTGACCCAGCGGTATGCGTGGCCAGGGCACACTGTCAATTGATGGCATGTGCCAATAGAACTCAGCGCCTAAGACGCCAAAGCAAAGAAGAGTTGAACTCCATGCATAGCGGAAATTGCCAAACACATGCAAATGAATTCAGTCCGGATGGGGCATGCTGCTCATCTCCTGGCTTTCCTCCACTCGTTCACTTTGCGCACTCTCACATCGAAAGGCAGCCACAACTCACAAGGAACGGGGTTCGGTGAACCCAGAGGCAAGTGCAAAGAGCACGTGAGGTTTCTCCGGGTTTCCCTCTCTCCTTTGACATACATCTCGAAAACACGCATGGCCTGATCACCATGTGTCAAGGTCGGCCGGCATGCCACTCCAGCCGCCTTTAAAGCGTAGCCCACAGTTGTCAGGGACCGTGCACGGTTGACATGTGGGGCAGGCCACAAAGGAGCCTCCAAGTTGGTCTGAAGCCAATGTATGGTTTTGTGCCAGGTGTGGCAAGGTCCAGAGGCGCCAAATCCTAGTCTTGGAACTAGAGAGGCAGACGGGGGCCCGGCTGTTGGTGAACAAACAAAAGTCAAGGTAGAGCTCAACATAGGTGGTATCTTTACCACACCCGCAGGCAGCCGGCCAGCTCAGGGCTCTTGCCCACTCAAGCATCCTGAACGCAAAAACCGGGTGGAGAGGGCAGGCAAGGATTAGTTCATCTTGGGCGGCAATGATCCACCTTCTTGGCTCTGGGCATGGTTGCAAACCTGACAGGTCTGCATGGAGCGTCCTCATTTGAAGACCGTCCTTCTTCCTTTCAGCCCCTTTTGCCAAGTGCAAGTCTGCCGTCTTCACCATTAGTTGAAACAAGTTGGCTAGGTGCACCTTCCTGATTTTCCGTCGTGCAGCAGCAGCATTGGCGCGCTGGAGCTGTCGAAAGCCGCCGTGTTGAATAGCCTGTTTAGCATGGTGATCCGCCCAGCCGTTTGCAAAAGATTCCCACATCAACCGTGCCGTTTGTGCCTGTACAGTGGTAGCATGGGCTTTGGTTTTTCTGATCTGGACAGTAGCTCCCTGCTTGCGCTTCGAGGTGCAGCAGATCGCTTCCCAAAGATCCGCACGGGTTCACCTGACTGAACAGAAATCAAGGCTTTCTCGAAAAGTTGAACAGCTGCCAGCCAATCGCAATAGATGGTGCAATTCTCAACCAAGCTAATTGCAAGAAGGATGGCATAAACTTCACCGCGGTAGCTATTTTGAGAAGCACCCGGTAAGATTTCCCCCAACGCAAAAAGCAATCTGCACTCGGTGGGGTGGACTTGAACCACTGCAGAAGATGCAAGCGCTGTATAAGGGCACGTTTGATTAAAAGCAGATCCATCTGTAAAAACCTGGCACGCATTGAGTCCGTTTGCCAAACGCTGCTGCTCAAAGCGCGTCCACAAGTCAAACGAGAGAGTACCGGGCTCTGACAGGGGAGGGATGTGCGACTGAATGTTATCCAGCTCAGGATCCCAGGGACACACACCAAAATACCGGCATGCTTCAGGCCCATGGGCGACCGCCCGCGCAGAATCCGCAAACTCATTTCGAATGCCTTGGGTAGCTGGGCACTGGAAGAGGCGATGCAGGCGACCGTCAGGCTCTCCACACAAGTCACATGTTCCATCACATCCAGCTATGTAGTTGGCGAGGATATCACTGGTGTAGTGTTTCCCTGCCAAACTGGCAAGGATGATTGCCCTTTGCCTCGGTGCTTGAGCTTCTAGTACCTGGGAAGTCAGAGGTGGATCGAATGCGGTCACGTCGAAATGCTTCCTGCCAGCACACTGTTTGGCCACATACTTATTCCAGTGAGGCCACAAGAACTTCTGTAGCAGCTTTAGTGCCAAGCAATTTTTTGTCTCATACACTGGGTATACAGGCCGCCATCACTGATGGTGCAACCTAACTCCCTAATAGCGTGAGCCAAAAAAGCGACCGGGCCTTTAGGCTTTGCACCTGGGTCAAGGGAAACTCTGGCGACAACGCTCTGTGCACGATGCGGGAAGTCCTTCACACACCGTCTCCAGAATCGGATTCGCTGCAAAATGGCTCTCCATTGAGGGTCCAGATTGGTGTCTGCAGCATTGAGGGCCAGCCGTGCATTGGTGCCATGTCCTGCCCTGTTAAGGGCTTTGGCAACCGCAACTCTGAGGGAATGGATGGGCGCCTTGCTGTAAACTCTTCACCGTATGCACTACAACCTAGCAGTGACAGCAACCGTTTTCTTGGGATTTTGGTTCGCCCCGATTTCTGGAGGCGGGTGGCATAGGGCCTCTTTCTGGTGTAGGAAACATCCGCTCCTGGGTCCTTGGCAGTGTGCCTGACTGGAAC